AAAAGGGAAGATGAGAGATGGCAGCCTTGTCTTACATCACTGGACGTGATGAACTCAGGCTTCCCGTAGACTCGTACACGCCCACAGGAGTTCTCATACAGCGCTTTTATGAGGGATGGAAATTTGAAAGGGACACCTTTGACTGCCAACCATTCGCAAAGTTGTTGACGATCGACAGAATCAAAGGCAGCCTTAAAATTCAGAAAAAAGGACCAATGTCGGACGTCTGAAGGAGTGGCGCTGTTCAGGAATTTGTCTCAGGGTCGTTGACCAGGGTGGGAGCCAGCTTGATTCATCACGAATTTGTCTCTCCATTTAATCCATCAACCTGCGCAAAATATTGCCAGAGAGCACCTTAGATGCGACGGATACCAGGTTGATGCAACGATGGTTTCCAAATGAAGTTCCTGCGCCCTTCTTGAAGATCGAGAAGCTCAATTCGGCTGGTATTTCGTTTTGTTCGTCAAAATGTTCACAAGGACAACGCCACCTTCTATGAAGATCGTGGAGTGCAGAACATCCGCTCTAGTTTTCTTGTCACGCTTCAGAATTGAAATCTCACGCTGGATATCAGTTGCTGATGGTGGGTTGGTGTCGATGTTCCACTTTGTTCTTCCAGCGGTTGTGTTGAAGGATACTAGCTGAACTGTTCCTTGAAGTGCTCAGCCCACTCCTCAGGAAGACGATTGAGGGAGTGAATTGCTGTCCCATGTTCTTCGCAAGTTGTTCCATGGACCTCCAGGGACATCAAGCTAGTACATTCTTTCAAGCTAGGTCGTCTGTACAGTAATAGCGTAGGTATTCGAAAATGGCAGCTCAGGTTTAGTGTTCGTTACTATCCTGCCAACGTTTATCTTCAACCACTTTCACAGTTCGGTTACTACCTCATCAATGTTTACCTCCAACCACTCACATAATTTGGTTAACACATGCACACCCACTGTTTCACTCCTGTTTTGATTATGTCACGAACATTCGCCCCACGACTAACCAAGATTATTAGAATCTTATCCTAAGACAATCAGTGCAAGCCCATCCTCACTCTCAACGTAGACGGAACGATGACAACAGGATGTCGACGCTCGTCACTTCACACAGCGCCTTGACCAGGGTCAGTTCAAACCTACGCACGACTCACTGTGCAGGAAAAGTCTGGGCTCGATATCGTTTTGGATTAAACGACAAGAAACAGGCCAGATTTCAACACGCTCGTTCAAGACCCAAATTCAATACAACTGCGTCCTACAAACATCGGCTGCATCTACCACAACTTATCAACCGAAGAACTCGATGAGTCTCTTTCCTTTTGTGTATTATTCAATTGTACTACAGTGTCTCTGGTAGCCACTATACATAACCGTTTATTGTTAGTGTTATTCACTTTCTGACATTACTTCGAGTAAAAGATAATAGCACTAACATTAGCTAACATCCTTCGATGACCGGTCAACGGCTTCTAAGGAATACACAATTGGGGTTATGGCGACGGTAATTAAAGAATCAGCCAGACATGTTGATTCTCTCGATGCAACAGAACCAAAGCAGAGAGAGAGAGACGAAGCCAGAGGTCTAATCGAAAGTTTGCAGCTGGAAGGAGTCCGGGACCTCTCGGTGTCCGAAAACCTAAAGTGCTGCAAAAACGGTCCGAATTTGCTGCGATTCACTCGTAATCTCGCAGCCGAATTGTTCGCTGACTTTGTGAATGAAATCGATCACCAGTACAGTGATGTACACGATCAAGCTTCACGTACGATTTTCCCATGAGCATGAATACAACTTGGTTTCCTCCAACGGAGAAAATTTCCACAAATAAACCGACCACTTTTCTGCCAGGGGTGATTGTTCTAGAACATTCGCAATGTTAGCAGATAGTCTGTCGTGAAGTTGATGCCATTCTCACCTCAGAAGCTGAGAATTATCATACATCTGCTTGATTCTTGTGGGAAATCGTCAGTAATGTGCATCTGGTGAAACTGTGGTAAGAAATCTCGAATTCGTTTACAAGTTTGAACTCTTAAACGTTCGGGTACGAGCGGCTTTATCAGCTGCGTGTTTGAACAGGATATAGCACGTGATCTATATCACGTGGTCGCAGACATTGACTGGCTTTGCCGACTTCGAGAAAACTCGATGTGCGAACCCAATGCGTATAACACAGCTCCGTGGCAAAACGTCAAGTGAGAAATAAGCAACAGTGACCTGCATCAAGCCAAACAACACTGTGAAGAGTTCAAGTTGGTTTCCGGTCCATTATGAAAATGGAGTTGCGCTTCAGACGATGGAGGTTAGCTGCCCGCTGTCCGGAAAAACCCAGTTTGCGCAGCAAGACAAACAGCTTATAATTTTCCGTGACCTTAGCGGACTCCGCATGACTGCGAGAATATAGGACCATCTTTGTTTTCGGCCACAAGTAGCCACGTTCCAGAAAGTGCCGAAAAACAATTCGACATCTGTGGATGTGGTTTGCAGCCAACTTTGGTAGAGGTTTTGTAAACATTGGACATCAGTAATCATAAAGGCCCGAAGAATGTCGCTAGCGCCTCACAGGTATCTCAGATATCTCTTTGACGGAGCACTCTTCCGAACAATATGGGTGGAAACTGACGGTAAGGACACTGCTAACAACGGTTAGATGATTTGCAAATGAGTATATTTCTCGAAAACAGTCCGATTGGGGTTCAAGTAGAACATAAAGTTGACGGAAACTCAGTGACTGCGCCTACCTGATGAGCATGGAGCGGGAGGGAGAAACCGGTCGTGGACTATCGAAGAGTTTTCAGCAACCTTGTGAGTAGTTTCATTCATGAAAAATCGGTTAGATGACCTTTTTGCACAAGGTAATCTACGGACTGAATCAGACGCCTCACGAACAGGAAAAAAGTCCACCTGACTTAGCATAAAAGTCCACGCGTACTTTTAATGCTGTTCAAACTACATCTCCCGGCAGAATCTGGGGCAATAAGTGTAGTTGGTAATCCGGTATTTCGGTAAGCAGAGGACCCCGGACGAAAGTAAGGCGAGCTCTGAAAAATTGCTCTATATCGAAGGACGAATGAAAAACAAGCATGGCGATTGCTAAACGGACATGAATTCCACAGACCTTGAGACTTTTTCCCCCTGTTTACTTGATCGGTTGATCAGTCTTCTAGTTTGGATCGATACAGTTGCACACGCTTGTCTTATCATTCCCGTCTAAACCTTCATGACAGAATTGTCGCACACCGTTTTTCGGTCTTCACTTGAGTGATGCTCCTCAAAGGGTAGCTTTGACGTCGTTCGTGGTACCAAATGACCTTGAAGTTGAAGCGCAGCAAATTTTGGCACTCATCTTACGGTCTATATCGATCAACGGGCATCCAATGACCTGTACGGTCAACCGGAATGTGAATCCAAGATAGTTGTTGTTCGACTGGATGAAACGTAGCTTCGTCCAGAAAGATCCTCTACTCGTTTGCGGCTTTTATCAATCTCAGGGCTGGAAACATTAACCTGCCGGTTAGAGTCTATACCATGGATTCGCGAACGTCGGTGTGGAACACTGATGTCATACTCTCGATGATGAGGACTACATAAAAGCCCTGGAAAAAGCTCGACTAGAATAAAACCGTTTCCAATCTGGGGCCAGACAAAGGCTGAGGCTGTAACAATGAACATTCTGTAGCTTATTCTACAGGAGAACAAAGTACCTGGGCTTCAAAACGGAGTCATCCTCGAATGCCATGGACAAGAGAGAACCCCGTCAATCGATGAAGCAATTGTACGTGACTTGTGTAGTTGCAAGAAGATAGTCTTACAAATTAACTCACGTGTTTCAGCATACGTAACGTATGGCTAAGTAACAGGAAGGTCAGATTCCTGAAAGCAACTTTAGAACGCCCGGAACCTACTGCTCCACCAAAATCTCAACAGGAAAGCCGGCAAGCATCCAGGCCAGTCAATCATTCAATCAATTCAGCAAAACCTGATGAGTGTTCTTGCGCGCCACAGAAGCACGACCGAATGTGATCAGCGTTCAAGCATTTCACAGAGGCATGATCGATGTTGACGGGTGTTCACTAACGGCTATCAGACAACCTGGATCAATGTCAATAAGTCCCCTTTCAATAGCGTGGGGCTGTTGTAAATTTTGCCCTCGCACTCGCTTGTTCGGAATATAGCTGTTGTGTTCCATTCTGTGAGTCTTTTTTCTCCGTCACTAGGCACTGGAGCGGGTCAGCAGCAGATGTCACAGATTGGCGAATCAGCAAATATAACAGGAAGTGTACGGGATTCTCAAATTTCGAGAGGATGAGATCCTGTTGCAACCAGTACTACCTGGTTGGAACGCTCTATCCGAAAATGGCGCGCTGAACTCCCAAAATTATTGCACCAGTCAGAAGAAAACTAGCCACAGAAATTTCGAGGTCTTCGTTTGCCTTCGCTGGTGGGATACGGAATCTGAGTATCCCCCGAAATATGCCACTTCATTTGATGCCC